GTTGTTTAAATTCCAATCGTTTATGCAAATGTACCGATTGTAAAGAATGCCACGATTGTCACGAATGTAACGACTGCACCAGATGTAATGACTGCTCCACTTGCGAGGATTGCGGTAGATGTATAAATTGCGTGGCTTGTTTTAATTTATACGACTGCCAAAATTCAAATGCCTTGGACAGTTGCAAGGACTGTTACGAGTGCAGCAATTGTATCGAATGTTTTTGTAACGTCAGTTAGAGCAAAACACTTGGTTTATTTCACTCTTCTTTCAACTGACATACAGCTGCTCTTTAATACCGATATACAGCTGCCCGTTGTCACGTCAACTATAATTAAAACACACAAACAGTGTTTAGTTATTACATGATAAACAACTTCATTTGTTATAATACAACAAACCCTAGAGAACTACCACCAAAACCCCACAGAAACCGAGGAAATAAACAGCAGTGAGGAATAAACCCGCCACGAGAGGGCGCTGTTGCATAAAAATGGCGAGCGTGATGGTCTGACCTAAAACACTGCAACGATATTAGAAATAAGACGTGTCACATGTGCGGTAAAAAGGACCCTATTTTACCCCCTTAGATTCATATTAAAACCTTCCATAATAGAATAATTCTGACAATCAAAGCCAAATGAAAAGACCGTACCGCTGGTGCGGGATCCAGGGTCCTAGACAAAATGAGTGATTTGTTGCCCAACGTATGGTGTGAAAACTTATATAGAAACTTATCTGATCCCTTCTACTTGTACTCGCGTTGCATGAAGCACGCCCGCTGTAGATCACTTGAAGAGAGTCTGATTAAACCGTAACAGTTTTGGTTGTACATATTGCACCTGCTGCGTAAATTGTGTCGATTTGGAAGAAATTGATCTCGTGGTGCTCGTAGACGGCAAGCATAAAAAGCTGAGGCACGCGCAAGAAAACGAGCCACTGCCCGATTTAGCGACGAAACTCGACACGGATTTATACAAAATTGGACTAATTATTGAATACGCCGTTGACGTTGAACATTTAATTAAAGTAGAAATTCCACCCGAGTTAATAGACGCGGCCTGGTAAAAATGAGAAAAATTTACGACAAAGCCGGGATAATTAGAACCATGTCAACCCACGTATATATCGTTTCAGATGACCACCACGTCTCAATGCCGACAACTGCGACCCCAATGTCACCTACGGACCCTTTAAATTAATCATTTCAAAACCCGTGATTAAAGAAGGGGCTCAAATGAGGCAATGCACTTCACCCATTTTTTACCATCACAACGGCCAAAATAAACGCCTGTTGATTATGACGATAGAAACCTGTTACGGTATAAACCCGCTTTACAAATACGGCGCTCGAGATAAAATCCCCGAAAACATCAAAGGCCGTCAAATTTGCGATCAGATACAACAACCTACGACAAACATACTCGATCACATAAATTTGCCGTTTATAAATTCAACGAATCTCAAGAGTCTAATTTCCCGTCTAACACCGTAAACGCCTACAAAGCCAGTCGCGATATCGATGAATTGCACAAGATCGAATATGTAGTTAAACCAGATTAAACGGCTAAAAACCAAATGTACTATAAAATAGATCCCTATGCCTCTCTATTTGATCACCAAAAAGACCGATAAATATCGATAAATTTCTCAATAAGAGATGCGACGCCCAATAATTTATTTGTCCAAAAGACGTATACCACGGTACCCACGGTTCACTGTCTTGCGGCACCAGCGTTCGGTATAGAGTGACAGCGGTAATGTTGAAAATTAGAAACGACGGACTAATTTCAAATAAGTCTGTTTTGCAAGCGTTTAGCGAATATGGATTTGAATCTGAATCTGGATCTTCCGTGAAATTAAAAGTCGATTAAATTTGAATGATTAACTTAAACCTCGGTTATTCCTCGGAATAACTGAGGTTAATTTTTTCTTAAATAAATGGACTATTAATAAAAAATGACAGACGCATAAATCTACCACCTAACCGGCTCTATACCCAAATGGCCCACCAACCCCGTCGTACACAAAAAACACTTGTGACCACCACGTAGTAGTAATAGAAGACAGATTTGCTTGCAGAAAATGCGGTCTAGTTTTTGGGTGGGTTTCCTTGAAGCTGGATATTTTAACGTAACAAATGCGACTAAAATTGAGTGGGATACAAACTTGGATGGTAGGCCCGCGGGGGTGCTTGGCGAACGACCGTCTGGAATACCCTCAGAGGAAAGAACGGGAGTATCTCCCAATTCAGAGTTAGTAAAAACAGCTAAAACCAGATTGAACCAAGCAACTAAAAAAGGTACTTTACCAGAAGAGATCAGAATCATCGCTGATGAAATTAATCAGCTAAACCAAGAAATTGCAACTTTAGAAGAGCAGTTAAACCAAAGACAACCATTAGAAACGCGAGCACGTTTAGCTTGTGATATCGAAGATAAAACAAATCAGCTTCACTGCTCGAGGTACAAAGACAAGCCTTGCATGAAATTTATGAAGGGAATCCCCCAACTCGACCTACAACAAACTCCCCCGTACAATCCATGAGACCCAGAAGAGAATTAACTAAAAGACTGTTTTTGACAGGGGCTAACGGAACCTATACACGATAGACTTCATTCTCGAAGCGCAACTCAGCCATTACCAGAGGGTCAAAGAAGAAGCATCGTGGTATCTCCCTGTTATTATAACATGGACTGATTTCACTTTTTGTTACAGTCGATTCCAGGCGTTTCCTTTAAGGTTCACTCAGAATCTAAAAGGGTGACTTTGGCCATTACGGACCCCAATCTCAAGTTGCGACTAAATAAAGAAGTGTCTAAGCTATTGAACTTACCCAAAATAAAACTTTTACCCAACGTTATTTATGAAGGCAAGTACGATTCAAACCCCTCAAAACTCACGGTTATTCATTGCAAACAATTAAATACATTTGATAACTTTTATAACAGGCAAGCGGAAAGAGGCGAGCGAAGCGAGGCGATGGAAGCGAGCACTGAAATTTACAGACTCAAAAAGATCGAAGAAATTAAATCCCAAATTCAAAGAGAACGCGACGCGTGCGGAACTAGTTACAAAAAGATTAAACGGGTACTGACCGCACTCGGTTACGTAGAGTACGGCGTAGAAGCACTGGGCGCAACCTCGGCAGCCGTCGGAATTCCCGCCATTTTGGGCGTTGTTACCGTCGGACTTGTGATGGGAGGCATCACTATCGGTGTGTTCGGTGCTTACGCGATATTGAAATATGCTAATCATAGACTCACCCACAAAACTAAAAAACACGCCCAAATTCGAATGTTGGCAGACGCTAAATTAAACACCATCGAGGAATACGTATCTCACGCGATTGAAGACGGGGATATATCCCAGGAGCAATTCGTATTGATTTTATCCAAGCTGAAAAAGTTCAACGAAATGAAAGAAGAAATTAGGTCAAACATAAGCACCAAATTGCAAGCGAGCGAAGTGAGCAGTAAAGAAGAAAGTAAAGAAGAATAAAAAAAAAAGAATCTTATGAAAAAACTTGGCGAGTAACTTTAACCAAGTCGGTTAAGTATCAGGAACAATTACCTCCTTATTAAGCGACCCAACCGACAGCACCCCCTTTAAAAGACGTATGAAATAAATGGCAGCTAACTTTAGTAGTTTAACAATTTTGGTCAACAAAGACAACTCGTTTACAGCCGAGTT